TAGTCACAATAGGCTTCAATGCGCCTAAGATAGAGTTCACAGTCGGATTTCTGCACAGCGGCTTTGAGCGTTCGTAGCGTTCTGGTCACGGCATCAAATGACCTCACTCAACTTGGATCTAGAGCGTCTTAACGTCGCCTACAATAGACAATTTAGATCGCACGATTTCACCAAGTATTGACAGCACAGCGTAGGTTTGAACGAACGACACAATGGAGAGCCGAGGTACAGTGATGTGGAACAGTGCTACACTGTCCCCAACCAAGAAGGGTCTCGAAACTACCCTTCACAAGGGCCTACACCAAGAGAAATATTACACTACACAAAGTAATGTAACTATCTTCAATATCTTGAAGTGTACCCTTTTGGCGAGCTTCGAAATCACTTGAAGTTTGAAACCAGGGCTCGGGTTCTTCATCACAAACTCATCCTTGAGTTCTTAATGGGTCTGCTGCACACACATGTGACACGCCGAACGTTCATCACACGACAAAATAGAAACCGCTCGCGGAACACAAGACAAAACAAAAACAACGCGCGAGACACAAACGACTGCATAACACGCGACTAGCGATAACTCGCTATTGACTCGACACACACACTCGACATAATGACTCATCATTCACACACTATTATATGCATGAAATATATATTATTTCATGCCCTCATTCCATTCCATGCACACACGCATGCACGCACACGGACAACAAGCTGAGTGCAAACCGTGGGGTTGCCATTAAGGAACGCGGTTGTCACGTCCATTTGTTTCACCACCCATCGTTTGATGGCAGCACCCATGAGTACGGTTCGAAGCGTCGTCAGCTTCACCACAAGAGCAAACAGCTCCTTGAGGTCCACCTTCTCCTTCTGCTGGTTCCCCTTGGCCACAAGCCTAGACTTGTAGCGCTCAATCTTGCGGTCGGCGCCGGACTTGATCTTGAAGAGCCACTTGGACGTAATCGCCTTACGCCCCTCTGGTAGCTCCACCAATTCCCACGTGTCGTTCTCCTCAATGCTCTTCACCTCGCTCTCCATTGCCTTCTTCCACTCCTCAACATCACTACTCTCCAAGGCCTCCTTGAGAGTTGCTGGTTCTCCCGGCATCTCCACCGGAGAGAAGAACGCGTGAAGGAAGTGTCGGTCCATGCTCACTCACTTGCTGCACCTACTCCTCTTCTTCCTCTGCGTCCTTGGTATTATAGTCAGAGCAGGCTACAATCTACTCCACATAGGGCACCCATTTGTCTGCTCCCATATGAGTCAAAGCTCTGTTCTTGGCCACACATGCACTCCGCACCGCATCAGGCCAGAAATAGTCGGGTAGCCCGGCTTCAATGAGCAACCCGCGTGCCGTCTCCGTGATAGTCCGGTTCGCTCGCTCTGCGATGCCGTTCATTGCAGGGGAGTATGGCATGGTAAGGGAGTGCCTTATCCCATTCTTCTTCAGCCACATTCCGGACTCCTTGCTCAGGAACTCTCCCCCTCAATCGGTGCAGATTGACTTTACTAGCCGGTCTTGTTGCCACTCCACCATCGGCAACCAATCGGTCTTCACCGTTTCAGCCACGTCACTCTTCTTGGAAAGCACGTACACCCAGGTCATTCGGGTGTAGAAGTCCACAATGGTGAGGAAGTTCTCTGCTCCATCAGCTCCTAGGTTCAAGGGGCCCACCACGTCCATCACCACCTCATCAAGTGGTGCCTTAGCCATTGCCTTCGAAGTCGAGAACGGGAAACGGGTGAACCTGGCTTGCATGCACGTCGGGCAGCCAAGTACCTCATCGGGCTCCCCCTTCACACGTATGCTAGCAACCATCTCATTCTTCACTAGCAGCTGCAAGATAGGCAGGGCCACATGCTCCATGCGCCGATGCAAGGTGAGCCAATCACATTCCCCCGTAGCCAAAGTCAGATTGGAGAATGCCGTGCTCGCAATAGCGCCCCACATGCTCTCTCCCGTAGTCCTCCTCCTTGGGGTTCTTCTCACCCTTGAGCTACTCCTTGGCTGCTGCACAACTCTCATTGTATTCACCGAGCTTGCTGGTCCCTCCAAGATTGCACTTCTTGGACTCATTCGCCTTGGCGCCATCGTTCGCGCCGTAGCCGCTACCAACCGCTTCACCCTTGGTGCTAATGCTTGCTACCACCTTAGGCATTGGGACCACAGGGATCTGCCACATCTCATTGTAGACATCCCTATCCTCGTGAAGGTCCCATAGAATCTGCTCGCCAAGCCTCGCGGTATAGGTCTTGGCTCCTTTCGAGCTCGTGTCCATGCCGGCCTTTTGCAACCGCCGCACGGAAATAAGGTTCGCAGCAAGGTTGGGCACCCAAAGCACCCTTAAACATGGCCTTGCCCATGCCTTTCACCTCTGCTCGCTGCCCCAAGGCCGATGTGACATGCTTCAACGGTGACGGTTCGAGTTCGGTGAGCAAGTCCACACGAGGTGTCATGCTATAGGTACCGCCGTTATCGATCACCCAATAGTCCAGTGAGTGTAGGGTCATCTTCCCCACAGCTGCTGGCTCGTCAAAGTCTTCATCCATCTCTGGTCCAGCTGTTGCTTGCGTCGAGACGAAGAAGAATTTGCCCGGAAAGCGATCGTCGCTTGGGTCCTTGTCGTTATCACCGCCTTTCATGTTTGCAGCACCACCTCCGCGACCGCCACGGCCTCCACGGCCTCTTCCTCTCCCTCATCCTGCTCCTCTACCCCCTTGGCCTTGAGCAGGGGTCCATCCATCTGGGAGTTGATAGCAATCGCGCCACATGTGTCCGCTCTTGTGGCAATAATGGCACTCGCCGTCAAATCGGCCGTGATCGCGTCCGTAGCTCTTGTCGTCGCTGTCGTAACCGCCACTCCCGCGGCCTCCATTGAAGTTGTTGCTGCCAAATCTGCCTCTCCCTCGTCCTTTGCCCCTTCCACGGCCGTAACCACGGCCGACGCTTGCTGCCCCGGCGCCATCCGGACCCGCCAACTCACGGCAGCGGAAATCCTCTTGAAGGATAGCTCGCTTCACGTCTTCGAGCGAGAGGCGGGGCAGATCGCAATTGAGGTTGATGATGAGGGAGGACCATGACTCAGGGTGTATGGTCAGCAACTTGGTTATTTTGTGGAGCTCACTGTCGTTCAAATCAGCTCCCTCAAGCCGCGTCGACAAGTCGAAGAATTTCTCCACCCCTTCTTCCACGGGTTCATCTTCTTCAAACCGTAGTGTCGCCATTTGCCGTTCAAACACCACAGCTACTGCCGCTGTTGCAGGAGCGTGTACACCCTTGAGAGCAGCCCATGCCTTTGGTCCCTTCTCTAGTTCACGCTGGAATGGCTTGATGTGACGGATCTGGTTGCTCCCCAACGCTTGCCCTCCTAGTAGGAGGTAGCCTTGTGCGCTCTTCCGCACCCACGGGCTCTTCTCCGGGTCGTTCTCGGGGCGCTTCTCTGTTCCTTTTATCACCTCTAGCAGGTCATAGTGGTCAAACACGTTCTCCATTCTGAAGCACCACTCAGCAAAGTTATCACCGTTGAACTTGTCAAAGCCCGAACACTCTTGGTTCATCCCTCGAAGGTCCAAGAGTAGGTTGCACAAGCGCCATGGCTGTGTCACGGGGTTGACCTCATGCTTGGGGTCCTCCACTCCCTCCAGCACCTCTATCACCCCTTTCCTTGAGGTCCAGCCATCGTCCAAGCTGCTCCAAGTTGCTCTGATACCACTTGTTATAGTCACAATAGGCTTCAATGTGCCTAAAAAACGAACGATAGAGTGCACAGTCGGATTTCTGCATAGCGGCTTTAAACGTTCATAGCATTCTGGTCACGGCTTCAAATGGCCTGATTCAACTTGGACCTGGAGCGTCTTAACGTCGCCTACAATAGGCAATTTAAATCGCACGATTTCACCAAGTATTGATGACACAACGTCGGTTTGAAACGAACGGCACTATGGCGGCCACTATAGTCTTAGAACACAAATTAGGAAGAGTTATGAGTTGGGAATGATTCACTGATCCTACAAACCCCAAGAGCCGAGGTACAGTGATGTGAAACAGTGTCACACTGTCCCCAACCACGAAGGCTCTCGAAACTACCCTTCACAAGAGCCTACACCAACTGAAATGTTACACTATCACGAAGTAATGTAACTATTTTCAATATCTTGACGTATACACCTTTCGCAGGCTTCGCAATCACTTGAGTCTTGAAACCAAGGCTCTGGTTCTTCATCATAAACTCATCATTGAGTTCTTGATGGGTCTGCTGCACACACCTGTGACACGCCGAACGTTCCACACACGAGAAAGTAGAAACCGCGCGACACACACAAACGATGACGTAGACACGCGACTAGCGATGATTCGCTATTGACTCGACACACACATATTTGACATCATGACTCAACATTCACACACTAGTATAAGCATGAAATATGTATTATCTCATGCCCTCATACCACTCCATGCACACACGCATGCACGCACACGAAGAACAAGCCGAGTGCAAACCATAGGTTGCACCAACAATACGACGCTTCGACGTTGCACAAAATTGCGTTACAGTTAGATTCGCTTTCACAACACGCAAATTCGAAAGTGATAAACGCATACCATTTTTTCATATCTATTGTGAGGGGTGCAATGGTCCACATGCCTGCAATGTGCTGCACTGCCTACACGCCCTGTAGCATCCAATCTCTTTCCTTGATTTCAGCTTTGCATGGCTGCGCTATACAGATGAGCGCCACTTGACATGCATCCACGTCCTCAGCTTTGGTGGGAGCAAAGATAATACTGACCTGTGCAGCGATGGTGGTGGAAATACTGTTTGCTTGGATAAAACTCTGCTGCATTGTAGTCACTGCTTCATTTGGCTTTATTCTCCACAATTTGCACCACAAATAAAAATGATCGTCCTGTCCACTAAAGGTTGTGGCTTTAAACTCATTGAGGGACCAAGCTTCCGACTGAATCGCAACACGAAACGACACCAGAATTGTGGTGTGTCAGGCTAGATATCGAGCATGCCAGCTGCTGCCATCCTGCTTCCCACAGTCTGAATCAACTCCTTGCGTGGCCCCACCTGCACACCACACACACTCGCCAGACAGGGCACACGGTGCGAAACACATGAATACCGTAGCTGAACCTTTGGGGAGGCATGCAGATCAGTAGTGAAATGCATGCAGGGTGGTGATGAGTACACTGAATTGCATGTGAGAACACATCAATTCCAACCAACATCAACAATACAGCTTGGCTGTATTGTTAGCAGGAGGCGATGAGAAGCAGGAGGTGATGATGGAGTAGTGCTACGAAGAGTGTCATTCGCACAGCCTCCTCCATCACCATAAAAACACCATGCATGCTCTTCACCCCACCCATGCCTCACAGCGACCCCACCCACACCTCACAGCAGCCCCACCCACGCCAAACAGCGACTTCGCGCTGTGCTGTGTGGTTGGGCACTACGTTGACGGGGTAACAACATGACATGCACCTCGAACGCATGACATGCACCTCGAACCCATGACATGCACCTCGAACGCATGACATGCACCTCGAACCCATGACATGCACCTCGAACGCATGACATGCACCTCGAACCCATGACATGCACCTCGAACGCATGATATGCACCTCGAACGCATGACATGCACCTCGAACGCATGACACTGCACCTTATGAGCGCACCTTATCCCCCTATGACCGCACCTTATCCCCCTACGACCGCACCTTATCCCCCTATGACCGCACCTTATCTCCCTATGTCCGCACCTTATCCCCCATGACCGCACCTTATCCCCCATGAGCACGGAGAGGGTGACACTGGCCTGCGCCGCCTCGTCCACGGTGATCAGCTTCAGCCGCCTCTGGCTCGGGTCCAGGGTCGTCTCCCACAGCTGTGCCGGCATCATCTCGCCCAGGCCTGAGGGCGTGATGTGCAGAGGGAGGGGGAAGGCAGAAGGAGGGCAGGGGGAAGGCACAGGGAGGGTACAGGGAGAGCAGAGGGAAGGCACAGGGAGGGTACAGGGAGAGCAGATGGAAGGCAGAGCAAGGGCAGAGGGAGGGCAGAGCAAGGGCAGAGGGAGGGCAGAGGGAGGGCAGTGGGAGGGCAGTGGGAGGGCAGTGGGAGTGCATTGGAAGGACGTGAAAAAAGACAATTTCTGTCAGGCAATGCTGGCTGGGATCCAGCAACGTCTCCCAAAGCAAGCTCTCACATTTCCTCCCCTTCATAAAAAAAGCACCCTCTAACGGAACGCACATTCTCAAGGAACAATCCTTAGAAAGTAATGCACCTTCCCAACAAAACACACATATCAAAGGAGCGCACCTTTGAAGCGCTGGATGGTTGGGGACGCGGACGGGGGCAGCGAGCGCAGGTGCGCCTGCAGCTCCGCCTCGCTGTAGCAATACACTGGCGCTTGCCGCCCCACCTCCACCTATGCGGTGGGGTGAGGTGGGGGGGAAAAGGGGCTCGGATGAACGTGAGGGGGTGAATATGCCGGCGGGATGTGGGATGACGTTTCAGGTGGACTAGCTGTCCCTAGCGCACTGGTGGCAGCAGAGAGGATCTTACCCTGTGCTTACCGGGGCACTTAAAAGCGATTTGAGCAGTGATGAAAGAATAGGATGCGTGTGCCTGGAGTGATGAACCAAGTGAGGAGTGAGGAAAGGCCTTTACCTTGTAGAGCGGGGGCACGCCCACATAGACATGGCCGTTCTCAAAAAGCGCTCTCTGCACACACCATGCGGTAACCAGGAGATGCCAGGTGGGTTGTAGGGAGGGAGGGAGGAAGGGAGGGAGGGAGGGAGGGAGGGAGGGAGAGAGGGAGGGAGGGAGGGAGGGAGGGAGGGTGGGTGGGAGGGAGGGAGGGAGGGAGGGAAGGAGGGAGGGAGGGAGGGTGGGAGGGAGGGAGGGTGGGAGGGAGGGAGGGAGGGTGGGAGGGAGGGAGGGAGGGAGGGAGGGAGGGAGGGAGGGAGGGTGGGAGGGAGGGAGGGTGGGAGGGAGGGAGGGAGGGAGGGAGGGAGGGTGGGAGGGAGGGAGGGTGGGAGGGAGGGAGGGAGGGAGGGTGGGAGGGAGGGAGGGTGGGAGAGAGGGAGGGTGGGAGGGAGGGAGGGAGGAAGGGAGGGAGGGTGGGAGGGAGGGAGGGAGGGAGGGGGGGAGGGAGGGAGGGAGGGAGGGAGGGAGGGAGGGAGGGAGGGAGGGAGGGAGGGAGGGAGGGAGGGAGGGAGGGAGGGAGGGAGGGAGGGAGGCAGGGAGAGAGAGGAAAACATTGGAAGAGAGCACTGAAGAACAGGAATATACACTGATTGGGGAACATGAATTACAAGGAATCTAGCGGAGGTTGCAGTGTGAAAAGCGACGCACCTTTTGGGGGCAAGAGAGCACCTGGTAGCGGAAGAGGGCACCTGGTAGCGGAAGAGGAAGGTGAGGAGCAGCGTGCGGATGTGAGCGCCGTCCACGTCGGCATCGGTGAGCAGAATGATGCGATGGTAGCGCAGCGCCTTCTGATCAAACTCCTCGCCCTGCCACACATGGGAGGCACAGTGGCACACATATGTGGAATCCAACCACATAGAAGAGTTTCAAAAGGTCCCAGAGCCCCCTGGTTGAACCCCTGCCACGCGTGGGTAGCACACCGACAGACTACCTATCTGCACACCGACAGACTACCAATCTGCACACCGACAGACTACCGATCTGCACACCGACAGACTACCAATCTGCACACCGACAGACTACCGATCTGCACACCGACAGACTACCAATCTGCACACCGACAGACTACCGATCTGCACACCGACAGACTACCAATCTGCACACGTGAACTTTTACCCCCCTTATTCTGAACAGCTCTACGTGAGATGCATGCGTGCCGTGTTGATCTCAAACGACTGAATCTATGGTCCGTGCACGCCTCCTCCAAAAGTGCCATTGGCAGCAGGCGAATGGGCTCACCCTTAGCCCGAGGCGAATGGGCTCACCCTTAGCCCGAGGCCGAGGCCGAGGATGAGGTTCTGCAGCTCCTGGTTCTTGTAGATGGCCGCATCGTCCTTGCGCTCCACGTTCAGGATCTTGCCGCGCAGCGGCAGCACCGCCTGGGGGGGGAGAGAGGGGAAGAGGGGGAGGGTGTTTAGGGGCGTGGGGAGGCTTTTGAGGCGCCTCAAAGGTCGTCCCTGCACTTCACGTTGCCCCTCAGCGGCAGCACCGCCTGGGAGGGAGTGTGCGGAAGGGCGGGTAGAGGCATGAGGGGGAGGTGCGTGAGGAACGATGGGGAGAATGAAACGGAGGAGAGACGCGAGCAGTGGGTTGGGAAGGAGGCTTGGCATATGTGGTGACAGAGACAGGGGCAGGGAGAAGAGGTTCCTTGCACGGAAGCAATGAGGATCACCCAGGCAAACAGGAACGCACACACCGCAGGGAGCAACGTGCAGGGATGAGGGGGTTGGCAGGGATGGGGGTGGTGTGGGGGATGGGGAGGGATGGGGGGGATGAGAGAGATGGGGGGATGGCAGGGATGGGGAAGATGGGAGGAGTGATAGTAGGGATGCGAGGGATGAGAGGTATGGGGGGTATGGAAGGAGTGCGAGGAATGGAAAGGAGTGGGGTGGTGACCTGAAGGCGTCTATCGCGGCCCTGCTTGGTGCTGCCACCAGCCGAGTCCCCCTCCACTATGAACACCTCTGAAGGCCGGTGCACACGTGGTGTGGTGCGTGTTGTCGCGCGGCGTTAGGCATGCAAAACGAAGGGCACGATGGAGGGATGGAGAGTTGGCAAGTGCACGTGGCAAGTTATGTGCAACCAGCAGGTGAGTGCTTTCCAGTGTGTGCACCGTAATGTGCGATGCATGTGGTGGATGGATGTGGTGCAAGGTAAGATCGTGTGGTTTGGAAGCGGCAGAGTGGCACTTGCTGTGCAGGCCGGTGCTGCCATGAGTGGCGATTTACCCTCCTCTGGCAGCAGCTACCCCCTCACATGGACTCACATGGGACGTTTTAGCGTCACAATGTGCTGTGCATGGATAGACAGAGTGGTATGCAGATTCACCAAGTCATGCACGTGCGCTTCCCTCAGCTCCGCAGCTACATCAACCGACGTGACCTGGCCTTCACAGCCACCTCCCAGGTCGGGGAAGCAGCATCACGAGCTGCCCTTTAGGCACCGCACCATGCCCACAGTTCCATTCCATCATCCCGTGCCAGCTGCCAGGCGCACCTGACTTGGAGGGGTCTTCACACGAGCGCACCTGACTTGGCGGGGTCTTCACACGAGCAGTCCGCCAGCTTGCCCGGCAGCATGGCCGACTTCAACACACTCTTCCGCCGAACCAGCTCCCGAGCCTTCTTTGCTGCTTCGGCAGCCTGCCAGGCATGGGAGGGGCAGAAGCAGGGAACTCCCATTTTACATGTCAGACATTTGCGGCTTTGCAGAGCACAGTGAGTGAACGGCACGGTGTCAGTACAGGTCGCCATCCCCGTGAGTGAACGGCACGGTGTCAGTACAGGTCGCCATCCCCGTGAGTGAGCCAGCAATTGGCTGCATGGCAACACCGAGTGGTCGTCATCACCTCTGATCATGTGCATGAGAGCAATGGCACCCCATGAATGGACGGAACAGCTTTGGCAGGCAGGAGGGTTTGCATACTCTACGTGTTAGTGAGTGGTTTCAGACAAGAGGGCTAAAAAGACCACGATGAGTGGTGAAGTCACACCTGTTACCAGACATTCTGGAGGACTTGTAACATAGGGTCTAGACTCCAGCATCCAACAGCCACGGTGCATGGACACACCTGCCTTGACGAAACCCACACCCACCTTGTAGGCGTCGAGTGCCTTGCTAAGAATGGCTTCACACGCTGCCGGGTTGGCGTCCAGGAATGCTGCCAGCGCATCGCTCACCACCCCGTCCACCACCTTCCTCACCCCTGGATTGCCCAGCCGCGTCTGATGCGCGCGCGCGCACACACACACACACACTCACACACACACACACACACACACACACACACACACACACAGAGGAGAAGGTGATGCGAGGGAGAGAGTGAAAGGTACGTTCCGAGGAGAGGAACTGATTGAATCCCATCTGCATTACCCGTCTCCCTCACCCTCTACTCGCTCACCCTCCACTCGCTCATCCAACCTTCTAGTCATAGATTCATCTTCTCTCTTGTGTCAACGCTGGGATTCATCTTCTCTCTTGTGTCAACGCTGGGATTCATCTTCTCTCTTGTGTCAACGCTGGGAGCGAGGCAGGGCCCCTTGGCCTAGTACTTAAGCCCGTGAGCTATGCTCTCCACCATCCCCTCTCCCTCACCCTCCACTCGCTCATCTCGCCTTTCTCCCCCCCACCACCGTGGTCCGCCCACCTTGGTCTGCCCTTCGAACTCGGGGTTGGCCACTTTGACGGCCACCACACACGTGAGCCCCTCCCTCAGGTGCTCGCCTGCCAGGTTCTCCTCCTTCTCCTGCCGCCCCCCACATGCAAAGGGGACAGGGCAGGCGTGAGACAGGGCAGGTGTGAGACAGGGCAGGCGTGAGACAGGGCAGGCGTGAGACAGGGCAGGCGTGAGACAGGGCAGGCGTGAGACAGGGCAGGCGTGAGACAGGGCAGGCGTGAGACAGGGCAGGCGTGAGACAGGGCAGGCGTGAGACAGGGCAGGTGTGAGACAGGGCAGGCGTGAGACAGGGCAGGCGTGAGACAGGGCAGGCGTGAGACAGGGCAGGCGTGAGACAGGGCAGGCGTGAGACAGGGCAGGCGTGAGACAGGGCAGGCGTGAGACAGGGCAGGCGTGAGACAGGGCAGGCGTGAGACAGGGCAGGCGTGAGACAGGGCAGGCGTGAGACAGGGCAGGCGTGAGACAGGGCAGGCGTGAGACAGGGCAGGCGTGAGACAGGGCAGGCGTGAGACAGGGCAGGCGTGAGACAGGGCAGGCGTGAGACAGGGCAGGCGTGAGACAGGGCAGGCGTGAGACAGGGCAGGCGTGAGACAGGGCAGGCGTGAGACAGGGCAGGCAGGTGTAGAAAGGCAGAGGTGAGGAGAGGGGGCAGACAGTGTCTCAACTGGTGGATTGAAGGCATAGTCGGGAGAGGGCTCACAGGACAAAAGGAGCATGCTATCTGTCGTCCGCATCTCTGCCTCTCGCCCTGAGGAAAATGAGCTTCATCCTTTTGACAATCACACTCCCCTCTCAACGACCACCCACCTTGAGCAGGCGTTGCTTGCGGGCGGCAGCGTTGAGGGTGCGGGTGAAGGCGGCCTTGGCGCCGTCGATGTGAGTGCCGCCATCGGAGGTGCGGATGCTGTTGGCGTACCCCACCACGCTGTCGCTGTACGCGTCCCCGCTCCACTGCCACGCCACCGCCACGCCCACGCCGTCCCTCTCCTCCTCCACCCACTGCGCCTCGTGCATCGGCATCTGCGGTTGGGGTATGCGCGGACATACATGCAGGGCAGGGCAGGGCAGGGATGCAGGCAGCGTTCAGAGTGCAGCACAAGCGAGGGACAGTTGTGGGTTCACCACTCGTACGAGGCAAGCCGATGAGGCCAGGTGTGCCCACTCACACCTTTGCTCACTGCCTCCATTCCGCGTAGTAAATAAAATTCATGCTTTAACCCATGCACACGGCCTCCATCCTGTTCCTCTAAATATCTACTCACGGTAGCTCGTACACTCTAGTCTGCAATCGTGCCATAGCCCTCCCACGCCCACATCCGCTCCCATGCCCACATGGAATCCCATGCCTCAGACCAAACAGTCCACCTTCTCGCTGTTGAGCCAGCGCACGAACTCCAGCAGCCCGCCCGCAAAGTGGAAGTCCGCTGACCGCCCCCCCTCCTCCTTCAGGTGAATCACCACCTGTGTCGGGGGGGGCATGGTGGAGAGGGGTGGCAGGAAGGAAGGTGTGTGGGGAGGAACAAGAGAGGAGCATGCAGGCACGGCCACACTGCAAAGTGGAAGTTCGCTGATCACCCTGCCTCTTTCCTAAGATGCATCACCACCAAACGGAGGATTGTGTGGCATCAAGGGAGAGGGGTGGCAGGAAGGTGTGGGGAAGGAAGGGGGGAAGTGGAGAGGAGCATGTGGGCACAGCCACACTGCAAAGCGGAAGGCCACTGATGGCACTGTGCCGACCTTAACACACTGCCGCATGGCCGGGCTGTGACTCAAACTCGAACGTGTGATGCAAGAAGTGAATGCTGAGTGGATGTCGCTGTCACACATGCCCTGAACTAGCGCTTGTATGTGGCGTGGGTCATGAAGGGATTTGGCTAGAGCAAGCAGGCACTGCCTCTGGATCGAGGGCTCACCTATTAGCATGGGGCAAAATTGCGGCCCTTGATGTGAGAGGGTTTGAGGTGAGTGCAAGGCTCGTGTACGACAGACAGAGCCGAGACGGCAAACGAGTCAGAGGCGGCAGAGGAGGCGAGACGGGGAAGAGGCGGCAGAGGGGGACGAAGGGTGGGCGTGCCTGCGGGTTGAGGAAGGCGAGCTCTCTGAGGCGCGCCGCTATGGTGGTGAAGTCCAGCGCCGTGGTGGTGGTGAACACTGCAGGGCGCGCAGAGGGGCGGGAGGAATGAGAGGGGCACGGGGCATGGAAATTAGGCTGGGGGTGCGAGCGGGGGATGTCAATGGCAGCGATGGTGGTGACGTGCTTGAATGAGCATTGAGTGCCTTGTGGTGGTGATGACAACAGCTGCGCGAGGCGATGGACGAGGGGAAAGGTTGAGTGCTGACGCGAAAGGTGGTGATGGTGATTCAATGAAGGATGCACTGGCACAAAGCAAGGGTGCGAGGGGAAACCGAAGAGAAGCGTGGAGGGGTTCAGTGGTGATGGGGGAGGAGATGGTGATGGGGGAGGAGATGGTGATGGCAAACAGTGCAATCAGACGGAGAGACGAGTGGGCATGGAGCACGGGGATAAATTTGGGGGATAGGTGAAGCCTGTAAAGCGGCACGGGAGTGCAGATGGCTGGCACTAACGTGGCATGGTGGGTGAACCATGAAACGGAGAGTGTCATGACGGCAGCATGAATGGACGGTGAACGGACGCGAGTGTGGCGTAAGGGGCACTAATCATGCACACCGGAACAATTTCAGACGACTCGATGGGCAAACATGTATATAGATCTAAGCAAAAAAACGCAAACACATTAAGTTCTCTACATGAGGTGCGGGATAAAGAAAAAGCTCTTAGCCAAGCACCAGCGGTTGCAGCAGCACCTGTGGGGTCTGGCAGGAAGTGTATTTGAGTGCCTGTGCGCTGCGCCTCCCCTTCGTGTGCCCCTGCACCCCCCCCCTCCTCCACCCTCATCCCCCCCACGGGGACGCCCCTCTCAAAGCGCTGTGAGTACTGCCGCCCGTCCCGCCACACGCGTGCTTCCAGCCACTGCAGGGGGGGCATGGGGGATGGTGTGGGGGTGGCTCCATGTGAGTATTGGCAGACCAGAGAGATGTTTCAAGCTAGTGATGGGAATGGATAGGAAGAGTATGGTACATGGTACTCACTGAGTGGCATGGCACCTGAGTGGCACCTGAGTGGCACCTGACTGAGTGGCATCTGAGTGGCACCTGAGTGGCACCTGACCTGAGTGGCACCTGAGTGGCACCAGAGTGGCACCTGAGTGGCACCTGAGTGGCACCTGAGAGAGAGCGTTGACGACCGACACTCCCACGCCGTGCAGCCCTCCCGACACACGGTAGCCGCTTGAGTCGCCCCCGAACTTGCCGCCCGCATGCAGCACCTGATGTTGGGGGAGGCGAGAGAGGCGGTGCAGCGAGGAGGACGGTACGCGCTGAGTCGAGGCTGAGGGCTGAGTCGAGGTCATGCTGACTTGGAGAGAGGAAGGTGTGGATCACATAGGGATGAGGGATGGGGTGGGTAAGGGGAGCGGGCGCAACAACAGCCCATGCAGAGGGCTAGACGTGGAGCATGCAGAGTTGGAAGACGGAAGGCAGATGAGGGGCGGCGAGTGGGTGACTCACTGTGAGCACGGTCTCCAGTGCGGACTTGCCCGTTGATGGATGGATATCTGTTGGGATCTGCATTGCCCATCAACACACACGTTCACAGAGGCAAACAAACCAGGCCACCAACGGATGAGCATGAAGAGTGAATAATCAGGAAGGAACACACACACACCAAGACTAGTTGGACGACTGGAGCTGGCCGTAGCCCATGAGAGTGATGTCGGTACTCGCCCTTGATGCATGGCACAATATTACGCACGCTTTGATCCACCCTCATACCCTGAACCCGAAACCCTACTCTCACACATACTTATTCCAGCAACATGGGCAGCGCACAGGCACAGAGTGGCCTGGTGACTGTAACCATTACCCTACCCCACCCCGCCCTGAATTCCATCGTCCAGCCAGCCCTGAGCCATGCGCCCTGCTCTGAGCGCACACGCGCTCACCCCGCGGCCGTTGTCATTGACGCACACGGAGCCGTCGGCCCCCAGCAGCACGGCCACGGTGCTCGCATGGCCCGCCTGCGCCTCGTCGATGGCGTTGTCCACCACCTCGTACACCTGCCACCATGCATGCACGGGGGGGACAGGAGGGAAGGTGGGAGGTCAACCCATGTCCAAGCACCTCATGGCCCGCCCCCCTCAGGGTTTACGGTTGGTTCAGAGTTTGGGTTTCGGGTTTAGAGTGGTGCAAAGCGGTTGGTTCTCACCAGGAGGTGCGGAGCGGTGTAAGGCAGTGGGCTCACTCAGGTGGTGCAGAGCGGTGCAAGGCGGTGGGCTCACCAGGTGGTGCAAGGCGGTGGGCTCACCAGGTGGTGCAGGGCGGTGGGCTCACCAGGTGGTGCAGGGCGGTGGGCTCACCAGGTGGTGCAGGGCGGTGGGCTCACCAGGTGGTGCAGGGCGGTGGGCTCACCAGGTGGTGCAGGGCGGTGGGCTCACCAGGTGGTGCAGGGCGGTGGGCTCACCAGGTGGTGCAGGGCGGTGGGCTCACCAGGTGGTGCAGGCCACGGGGCCCGGTGCTGCCGATGTACATGCCTGGCCGCCGCCGCACCGGCTCCAACCCCTCCAACACCTGCCCCGTGGTGGTAGGGGAGTGGGTGGGTGGGTGGGGACGTGATGTGAGTCACAGTGACAACACGTTGTGAGATGCGTTGCACTGCCAGGGAAAAGGCAAGCGTTGCGTCGAGAACAGAGGCAAGAGAGAGCACGGTGGTTGGGGGCCGTCATCTCATACCCTTCATTGTCGTCACCTATCCCTCAACTTCCTCTACTCCACCCAACACCACTCCCTCCTGCATCCGTCTCACCTGGATGTGCTCCGCGCCGTAGCTGGATCTGCTCTTCTTCCCCGCCCTCGCCTTGCCCCGCCCCTCCTTCCCCCCCTCTGCCCCCCCGGATGCGCTGGCCCGCACGGCCTCCGTGCCGCCATCCTTCCCCTCCGCCGTCCGCAACTGCACGTCTGCTGCGCCGCTACCCGCGCTGATGGACACACCCCTTATTGCGCCGATTCCTGCGCCCCCGTCTCCGCTGCGGGCGGAGGCCAGCAGCTGCCTTTCGCTTCCGCCAATCCCCGCGAGCGCCCTGGGCGCGCACAGTGATGCGCGGAAGCTCCGCGCGGAGCTGGGAAGGTCAAGGTGCCGCGCGGAGGCCGCGGAGGGGCTACATAGTAGGGCCGCGCGGGATGTGTGCGCGGGGAATCGGCGAAGTGAAGGCAACAGGATGCCGGCACGCGCAGTGGGAGCGAGGCGCGCGGAGGAAGAGAGACGCGCGGCGGCAGCGCGGATGGCGGAGGGGCGGCGGAAGGAGGCAGCGAGCACGGCCCTGCGGTAAAGGGCCATGCCCATGGCGGGCTGCAACAAGTAACAAAAATCGAAGAGTCGGATATAAGGCGGAGGCGGTGGGCGTAAGTGGTGTTATGGGCAGATTGACAGGTTGGGGGATGATACGACGCCTAGGTATTGTCGGGGTTGAGAGAGTAGTCCATGGCGGCTAGAAAAAGGATCATCGATGGATGGGTGAGGGAGAGAATTCAGTGTTGGAAAGCGAATCCATGCGCGGAATCTGGGTTTCAAAAAGCGATACGGTTTGGGGTTGTGCAGCAAGCGGATAGTGCGTAACCGAGTATGGCGGCTGGGAAACAGTTAAGCCTATATAACAAATCAATTATCTTCGAAAAGCCTAAAGGATCTAGGTAGCGAGGATTGCACTAAGTGTCAAACGAGTACAGGATGTGAGCGAAGGCATGAGCGAACATTTATACACGAAACATGCAAGCGGTAACGCGGTGCGTGCGAGCTAGCTAGTGCTAGGCTGGCATCGAGGCACAGTCTAGTCCCGAAGCGTAGGCCGACACGGCCGGGCCAGCGGTGCCTGGTTTGGTGAAACAGTGCACGCGAAGTCGGCGAAGCCCTGTTAGCAGTAACGGGTGAACAACGGCTGCTGCTGTACACGATGTTACGGAATGCGCTAAGGAATGTCGAGAAAATTCCTTACACTACCCCACCCCCCCTCCCCACCCCCCCTCAAGAAGCCCCCTCCGCTACGCGAGTGCGTGTATATCGCAGAAAACCCGGCTCCTCAGGTATACTTGCATGGTAGGGTGTTTTCCGATGTTGGCCAGGGGCACCCAGCTATCCTCAGTTGGCGTGCGGTCCTTCCAGCGAATGATGAACTCAATCCTCCTGATTCCCGTAGGGTGTTGAATCATGTTAAGATGCAAACTTTAGTAGCTTAGTAAACCTAGGTTTAGGAACCATAGCTAGAGTAGCAAGGGTAGCATGGCAAGAGCGCGAGTATCGACCGAAAAGGGGAATTCACTGTAGTTCGGAAGGTACAAATAGGAAATGCAAGCAAGCAATGAGGTACACCACCAACAGTAACAAGGGATAACTACAGTAAACTACACAAGCACTTTATATAGAAATTATATTTCAACACATCCCCCAAACTGCTTGCGATAGTAGCTAGTATAGCCAACACCCCCCTGAAGCGGTAAACCTGGCGCAACGGAAAAGGGCAGAGAGACAAGTGAGGAGGAGGAGGGAAGAGAGAGAGAGGAGAGGAGAGGAGAGAAGTATCAAGGAGGAGGTAGGAGAGAGGGACGAGGAGAGGAGGTGGGGGGGAGCCAGTCGTGGCGAAACCCCTCTTAGTAACCCCCTTTTACAAAGGGAGAGGTGAGAGCGGGATGAGGAGAGGAGGTGGGGGGGAGCCAATCGGGGCGAAACCCCTCTTAGTAACCCCCAAGTCCCCACTCCCTTTCAACCACCCCCCCTTAACCTCACTCCCCCATTCAGCCGCCCCTTAGAACCTCACCCTAGCCCCGCCTTTCTTCCTCCAGACCCCTCCCCACCCACGGTGGTCCCTGCGCATTCCTTTATACAACGGCCAGGCCCCCCACCCCTCGTCCCCACCACCTCCCCACCACAGCAGCAGCTGTGGGAGGGGAGAGGCAGGGTAAAGAGTGGTGCTGGATTGCCTCACGGCGGCCACCCCTTCCACACCACATCCCCCCCCACAGCCAGAGTCGCCGAAGGGAAGGCGACGGGGAAGCGCAGGGAGGCCGCATGAGGCGGCACATCAGCTGCAGTCGCGAAATGTGCAGCCGCTAGAGCAGCATAGGGGCCGACGGGAGGGCGGGTGGGGAAAGCTGCTGGTGCGCAACGGGCGGCGTGGAGCTGACGACGAGCGCCGATGCGCTGATGACGGGCAACGAGGAGGTGACGAAGGCTGGCTGGGATGTGGCGTCGAGCGGCGGGGAGTTGACGACGGACGGTTTGCGGTTGACGACGAGTGCATGGGAGCGTACATACGGGCGGGGGGAAGCGAAACGTGGGCGAAATATGGGCTCGTCGAGTGTCGCAACAAGCAGGACGAAGGGCCGCAACAGCAGCGCGACGGAGAGCCGTGATGGGGACTGCGACGGGGCGAACGGGTCCCGTCATTGCGCAGATCGTCGCCATGATGGTCGCGGGCAGAAGCGACTCGACGTGTAGCTCGACTGAGGGCGCCGTTGAATAGACTAACGGTGGGCCCATAAAAATTAGGTCATAGCTCGAACCTGCTCTGATACCATGTTAAGATGCAAACTGTCCAACTTATATGCTATAGTCTGTGTAGGGTGTAGTGGGGTAGTTCATATGGGGTACAACACTTTAGGGTTTCCTACTTGTACTCCTCATGCTGCTCAATGCACTCATTCCTCGTTTTACTTTCACATGGTTTCTGAGCAGGTTCCCTAGTGGGAACGATTTTTTTTTAGGGCCCACCACGATTTTTTTTTCCTACCCTGCCCGAAGCGCGCTGTCGCGCCTGCCTCACCTGCGCCGTCGCGCGCCCTGCCCTACTGCCGCCTGTAGCGGCACTGACCTAACGGCCCGTCGCGGCCCTAACCTTGCCGCTCGTCTCGGCCCTGCCTTACGCGCGTGCTCACGCGCCCGCCTACCCGCGCCGTCGCGTGCCTGCTCTACCTACAGCCGCCGTCGCGCGCCTGCCTTGCTCTGCTTCCCGTCGCGGACCTGCCCGACCCTCAAGTCCCGGCCCTGCCCTACCCGCTGTCGCGGCCCTGCCGCTCGCCAGTCGAGCGCCTGCAGCCGCTATCGCGGCCCTGACCTGCAACCGCTGTCGCGGCCCTGACCTGCAGCCGCTGTCGCGGCCCTGACCTGCAGCCGCTGTCGCGGCCCTGCCGTCGCCGCCGTCGCACCTGCGGCCGCCGTTGCGGCCCCGCCGTCGCCGCCGTCGTGCGACCCTACCGTCGCGGCCCCGCCGTAGCGGCCCTGCCCTGCAGCCGCCGTCGCGCCTGCAGCACCCGTCGCGGCCTTGCCCTGCCGCCGTCGCGACTGCAGCCACCGTCGCGGCCCCACTGTCGCGGCCGCCGCCGTCGCGGCCCCGCCGTTGCGCCTGCCCTGCACGTTCCTAGTGAGCACCTACCCTACGCACGCTACCCGCGCACCTGCCCTACCCGCGCTTGCCTGCCGGCCGAGCCGCGCCGCCCTACCGAGCCGCGCCGCACTGCCCTACTGAGCCGCGCTGCTCCTGCTGCTACTGCTGTTTCTGTTGCTACTGCTGCCACTGCTGCTACTGCCGCCATGGCGAGCCCTACGGTTCTTACCTTCAATGCTGAGGGTCGTGCAGTTGACTTCAATGTTTGGGTAGATGATCTGCAGCTGTTTCTTCAGTGCAATTCTAAGGACAGAGTCTCGCTTTTTGATCTCCATCTCGCGCCTCTGCCGCACCTGCTGCCGATGCTGACAGTACAATTCGCTCGAAGTGGACTACTCATGACGCTGTTGCTCGCCTTGCTGTTCGTAGTCACCTGCCTTCTGATGAGCGCGCGCACTTTGGCCAGTACAAGACTGCTAAGTCTTTGTATGACACTGTCGTAGCGCGCTACTCCTCCCTTGCCACTGCTACCCTCAGCCTCCTCATGCTATTGTACCTGTTCCCTGACCTGGCCGCCTTTGCCACAGTTTCTGACCTCATCACTCACCTCCGCACTAGTGACGCCTGCTACCGCGCTGCGATTCCCTCCGAGTTCTGCGCCAAGAAGCCCCCCGCCCCCCCTATGTACATCACCCTCTTCTACCTAGTCACCCGTCTCCCTGACTCCCTTTCCTCAGTCAGGGACCACTTTCTCTCCCTTTGCCCCACCGAGCTCACCGTCGACCTGCTAGAGGAGCGCCTCACTGCAGCTGAGAAGATTATAGTTGCTGTAGGTGCTTCTCGCGGCGACCCTCGCGCCCCGTTCTTTGAGGGGTGTTCCCGCGTTCCCCTTCTGCCCTCTGTTGCGTCTGCTGCTGCTGTCGACCTCCTTGGCACCGAGGAGGTCGGGGCTGCGTTTCCTCCTAGTGGGAGGCGCCGTAGCATAAGGGGCAAGGTGGGAAAGGGTGGTGGAGGGGACGGCGGGGGCGACGGTGGTGGCGGTGGAGGAGGCGGAGGGGGTGGGGGTGGAGGCAAGGGTGGTGGCGGGAGTGGGGGCGTCGGTGGCGTCAGTGGAGGTGGTGGAGGCAGCGGCAGCGGCGGTGGAGGCAGCGGCGGCGGCGGTGGAGGCAGCAGCGGCGGCGGTGAAGGTGGCGGCGGCAGTGGTGCTGGTCGGGGTGGCGCTGCGCAGCGTGGAGGCTTTGGAGGTAGCCAGCGCCAGCAGCAGCCGGGTTCCCACGAGACCCCGTCGCCCCAACAGCTTCGTGAGTGGTACGCTTGGCGTGGGCGGTCTGGGGGTGCTGGTCCCTGCACTTACGTTCTCCGCACCGGCGGGCGGCGTGGGTAGACGTGCGGAGGGCCACACACGTAGCAACGCTGTTTTGGTCGCCTGTCTGACGCTTGGCGCGCACAGTTTCCTGACGCCACTGAGCTCCCTACCTAGGGTGATCTGTTTAGGCAGAACGTTGATATCTTTGCTCTTGACTATGATGCTATCCTTGCTGCCATGTATGCTATGACTATTAGTGCTGAGGGTGACTGTTATCTGTGTGTGCCGCCTGACCCAGGTATGGAGTCTGCTGCTCTAGGTGCTGGTGAGGCTGCTGCTCTAGGTGCAAGTGAGTCTGCTGCTCCAGGTGCTGGTGAGTCTGCTGCTCCAGGTGCTGGTGAGTCTGCTCTCTCTGATACTGCGCCTGCTGAGGCCTTGCACACCTTCACACTTGACTCAGATGCTTCCCGCTCCTTCTTTCGCGACAGCGCCACACTCACGCGGCTTAGTCGGTTTGTTGCAGTCTCCCTGGCAGACCCCTCTGGGGGCCCAGTCCTTGCGCACTCCTCCATGGTCCTGCCGTGTCCGGCAATTCTGTGTGGCTCACTGTCGGGTCTTCACCTCACCTCGTTCTCTACAAACTTGGTGAGTGGAGCCGAC